AGGAGTGAGAGTAAACATCAACAGTTCCTGTTAAGCAGAGCAAATGATAATAATATTCAGAGGATAAAGTCAAAACAGCACTGACCCTTTGACACTTTCAGGAAACTGAGCAGTTGTGTAGGGACAATATCTTTGCAAAAGTTTATAAAATTTCTCTAGAAACCCTCAACTTTGTTGAAGCGGGGCCTCAGATCACTTGCACAGAACAGGTTAATACTAGTTTCAGCATTTTACAGGATTGTCTGTGTCTTCTATTGCTTGTCACGCATAAGTCTTGAAGTGTGTTATACAGTGGTCAACATCGTTGTTCCTGCTGTGCTGAAAGGCCGAATAAGCACTCAGCATTGATAATTTGCCTGGGGTTACCGAGAAGCAGAGCAGAGGACTTCAGAATGCCTGTTTAGTATGTTATTCACTCGATCAGTGTTTCCTGAGAAGAATCCACCCAGGGAAGGTTGGCACAATATATTCACACGGACAGAGATCACATCAAAGAGTTTAACACCTCAAATCGACAAAGGTGAAGCAGGAGCACAGAGGGATGCATGAATTTTCATCTAGTCTCACAGCAGGTTAACAGAAGAAACATGGCTCCAAGCCAGGTGCCTTGCCTTGCTGACAAGCAGCCCACCTGCAGGCCAGGCTGGCTCAGCTAGGGTCTGAGGTCACACTCTGCTCCTGAGCTGACACCCTATTTTCATCTGGATATAAAAGAGACAAGTGATAATATGAGATATGTTTATTTTGCACACCAGTGAAATTCTAGAAACAGAAAACAGAAAATCTCTCTGGCAAAAGGGAACAAAATAAGAAGAGAATTTATAAATGCCATACCATGTATTTCACATTTGGCAATTTGTACTTCAGAGTTAAAACAAGCGTGTATGTGCCCTTTGAAAGCATGAGGCTGCATGCATGAAGAAAGCACCTATTTCCCTTATGTCTTGAGCAGGGAGCCATATGTTTTAAAAATTGAAAAGAACAATTAGTCTGGGAGCATTAAATCTGCCCATCTAGGTAGCTGACTAGCTTTCTCACAGAGATGGCTGTCCCATAATGAATCTGAGGAAACAAGGCTTAGAAATGTAAATAATTAGTAGGTGTGCAGGAGCATAAATTAGAAAAATTTACAATTTTAATTACTTTCATGTACTTTCATTTGCTGAGTTCCCAGGCTGACATCAGAAATTGTATCTGTCAGGTTGCTAGCAGGGTAGGGTATGGAGGCAGAGGGGCATGGGAACAGGGTAGGCTCAGTCCCAATGTTGACAGTAGGATCTGCAATGACAGCATATTATAGAGTCATAGAATCATAGAATGCTTTGGGTTGGAAGGGACCTTTAGAGGTCATCTAGCCCAACCCCCCTGCAGTGAGCAGGGACAGCTTTAACCAGATCAGGTTGCTCAGAGCCCCTAGGGATGGGGCCTCCACTACCTCTCTGGGCAACCTGTTCCAGTGCTTCACTACCCTCACTGTAAAAAATTTCTTCCTTATATCCAGTCTAAATTTACCCTCCTTTAGTTTAAAACCATTAATCCATGTACTGTCACAACAGGCCTTGCTAAAAAGATTGCCCCCATCCTTCCTGTAGGCCCCCTTTAAGTACTGGAAGGCCGCAATAAGGTCTCCTCGCAGCCTTCCCCTTCTCCGGGCTGAACAGCCCCAACTCTCTCAGCCTGGCCTCGTAGGAGGGGTGCTCCAGCCCTCGGATCATTTTGGTGGCCCTCTTCTGGACCCGCTCCAACAGGTCCATGTTCTTCTTGTGCTGAGGGCCCCAGAGCTGGACGCAGTACTGCAGGTGAGGTCTCACCAGAGCAGAGCAGAGGGGCAGAATCACCTCCCTCGACCTGCTGGCCACACGTCTTTCGATGCAGCCCAGGATGTGGTTGGCCTTCTGGGCTGCAAGTGCACATTGCAGGCTCAGGTCCAGCTTTTCATCCACCAGTACCCCCAAGTCCTTCTCCGCAGGGCTGCTCTCAATCCCTTCATCCCCCAGCCTGTACTGATACCAGGGGTTGCCCCATCCCAGGTGCAGGGCCTTGCACTTGGCCTTGTTGATCCTCATGAGGTTCACACAGGCCCACCTCTCCAGCTTGTCCAGGCCCCTTTGGACGATATCTTGTCCTTCTGGAGTGTCAACCACACCACTCAGCTTGGTGTTGTCTGCAAACTTGCTGAGGGTGCACTCAATCCCACTGTCTATGTCATTGATGAAGACATTAAACAGTACTGGTCCCAGAATGGACCCCTGAGGGACACCATTTGTCACCGGTCTCCATGTGGACATCGAGCCATTGACCACGACCGTCTGGATGCGACCATCTAACTAATTCCTTATCCACCGAACAGTCCACCCATGAAATCCATATCTCTCCAATTTAGAGAGAAGGATGTTGTGGGGGACT